GTGTGTCTTTTCCAACAGACTAAAAATGGCTTGCGCACGAAATTTAAAAGCTTTAATCATATTTTGAGTTAATAGATGAAAAATGTGTTGGGTTTTTAATTACTGTACAAAATTTCAGACAATTTCCTTTAGTTTAAGCCCTATAACTATTCGCGCAAACTTACATTTTTCCCGAAAAATTCAGCTATTTCCATGCTTAATTAATGCCTTTGCCTAGCTTGCGTAGTGCCTAATTTGCATACTGTGCCAGCAATATGCAAATTAAGTAAAGGCATTAATTAAGCATGCGAAAGACTGATTTTGTAGACTTTGTATAGGAACAAATGAATATATAATATATAATATATATATATATATATAATATATATATATATATATATATATATATATATATATATATATATATATATATATATATATATATATATATATATATATATATATATATATATATATATATATATGTTGAGTTGTGTACTTGTACACTCCGTAATATGTTAATAAGGTGAAAATGTTCTAGAGTGTGTATTATATAATTTCCATACCCAGCGCAAGCAGAAAGATGTTGTCTGCCGCGGCTGGGTCTCGAACCCGCGACCTTCGAATTACTAGATCGACGCTCTGCCTACTGAGCTACACGGTCAGACGGATTTAAGACTGGAAATTATGAAATATATACTGAATGTCATAAACATACTCGTTTATATTAATTCAGCATCGAACAATACTAGTTCTGCAAGTGTTATGTTAGTTGTGTAATTGTACACTCTGTAATATGTTAAGATGAAAATGTTCTAGAGTGTGTATTATATAATTTCCATACCCAGCGCAAGCAGAAAGATGTTGTCTGCCGCGGCTGGGTCTTGAATCCGCGACCTTCGAATTACTAGATCGACGCTCTACCAACTGAGCTACACGGTCAGACGGATTTAAGACTGGAAATTATATATATTTCATAATTTCCAGTCTTAAATCCATCTGACCGTGTAGCTCAGTTGGTAGAGCGTCGATCTAGTAATTCGAAGGTCGCGGGTCAAGACCCAGCCGCGGCAGACAACATCTTTCTGCTTGCGCTGGGTATGGAAATTATATAATACACACTCTAGAACATTTTCATCTTATATATATATATATTGTGTCGGTTTTCTTTGATCGTCCGAGGTTTATAACTAGCTAATATACCTTGAATAAATAATTACATCAAACTTTTCGACAAAACGCGAGAATTTTTCATCAAAAATTTTTGAAAATGACAAAATATGTTAGAAAACCTCCACAAATCGTGAGATATAAGTCAGTTATAAACCTCGAAAGTCGGTTTATAACTGATATATTGCCCTTGGACGCTGCGCGTCCTCGGGGGCAACATAGTTTAATACACTATGCTAGAGTGCTCAACACAGAAATTGTGGAGCGAATTATATTTTGGAATGTGATATTCAACATCACATTCCAAAATATATAATTATAGTTTATATAGTTTATATAGTTTTTCGTTTTACCTCAAAAAACCACAACAGTCTGTTTCATCCGTATATGAATCGTCAGGTGGCCTGTTGTGCTTTTTTGAGGTAAAACGAAAAACTACTTTACGCTCTATCTATATATGCAGGTATTGAGCACTGTTTGTGTTTCGTAAACCAAAAACTTAAGCTATATATATATATATATATATATATATATATATATATATATATATATATATATATAGACCTGCGAGTTGGTAGGAGCGTACCTCCTACACCAAATCACAACGAAATAT